CCCTACACCTCTGGCTTCTTTTCTCTCACTGGCCTCCCAGTCTCTGCTTCCTTGCGGGCTGGCTTGATACCACGTCTCTTCCACAGAGGTAGGGTGAAGTGAGACACTGAAGCTGGCCTGTGCAAAGTGCCTCTGCTGTGGCTAGACAGGTGTGAAGAGGGCTTCTGCAGACTGATTTCCTGCACCCGCCCATCCACTCACTGGGACTTCCTGTGCACAGCTGCAGAGGCAAGACAACGTGGCCATTCGGTACACATTAGGTGATCAATGTGGTTGCAATCTATGATACAGTTCACTTTGGTTCAATGAACACTTGCTGAATGTCTATGATGTGCAGAGACATGACAGCTCACAATTCTTACGTATAAATGACAAGTACAGAGGTTTTCAACCCTGGCTGCACTTGAGACTCCGAGCAGATTGAAAGAAAAACCAAAACCAAAACAAAACCCAAACAATGTCTGAGGTCCCATTCCAGAGAAAGGGATTTCACTGGGGGGTGGGGGGGTGGAGCCCGGGTACCAGCATTTTTTTAAAAGCTCCCCAGCTATTTGAACGTGTAGCCAGGGGTAAGAGCTTTATGTGGTCGTATGTAGAAAGTTTGGAATAAAGGTTACATTTAGACTTTAAGCAATACAAAGCTAATGCAGGTTTCTGAGCAAGAGGAAACATGAGGATGGTTGTAATGGGGGAAAATTCTCCGGACTATAGTGGGCAAAACAGACTGGGGTCAAGAAACACTAAAAACAGAGACCCAAACAAAGCCTTAGTGCACTAGTTCAAGTAAGAGATAAAAAGGTCCTAAACTAGGCTGTAGCCTTGAGAATGGAAAGGAGGGGTGAGTTTCCTGGAAAGAGCAGGGCCAGGCAACTGTAGGACTTTTAAGGGCAAGACGGAGCAGTGCCGGCTGCAGCAGGGGAAGGAGGGCAGTGACAGGGAAGCACCCTTTGCCTTGCCTGGACCCATCTAGCCCCACGTTCCCACAGACTCCAAAAGTGCAGGAGAAAGAACTTCTGGTGTCTTTGGAGTTAAGTCCATGAGAAGAACAAGGATACAGAGATCTGGTGCTTTCAGGGGCCAAGTTCACGGGCCACTAACCTAAGCAGTAAAGACTGAACATACTGAGGACAAAAAATTTAAAACAAAACATTTGCAGATTTTTTTCCCCCGAAGAATTTTGATACAAAAAGAAATCATTCTCCTACCCAGGGCATTTACTCTTCAAACAATATTATTAATTTCCAGGCCACCTTAGAACACTAGGCTCAGCTCATAGAAAAAATACAGAATCAACTGCAGCTTCAGACATCTTCCTGGACGTCACCTAAGTCAGAAAAGAATAGCCAACACGATGAAATTAGTAGAGTGTGGTGGCATGGGAATACAATCCTTTATCTGGAGTGTAACCTGGCACTCCGAACAAAGGTGCCACTATCCTCAGCTGAAAGCTTTTCGGGCACAAGAAGGAAGTGAATGGGATGACCCACTTGAGAAAGCACCAAACAAACAGAGATGACTGCACATCCCTGGAAGACGGCAACGGGCAGAGAGAAAAGACTGAACAATTAAGAGTGAACCGGGACACACCTTCAATGCTGGTACATCTCAAATTCCACTCCCCTCTCACCTTTCTCCAAATAACCAGACCTTTTAGTTAACCTGTTTAGACCATGTTTGATCCAACACATCATTCTAGAGCACACACACACACTATATATATATGCATATGTATATATATATAAGTTAATTGTTATTTTATTGTAGAAGAAAAAATATCCTGAAATATTTGTTAAGTAACAATAATTCCTGACAAAATCATTCCTCAGGGTTTTCGAGCCTCACCACCTGGTCAGACATAGCGAGCTGTCTGTCTCTCAGCCTGGTAATAAGCTTCATTAATAGTGCCACAAACCACAGAAAAACCCAAAGGTTTTCTAAATGGCTTCCGAATTTCTGCATAGATGCCCTTAATTAGTCCAAAGGTAAACAATAAACAAATAGGCAGAGAAATTAGAAGGATAGCTGAGAGAAAAAAATGTTAACAACGGGTGAATTTATAACAAAGGGTATATGAGTGCTCATTATAGCATTTTTTCAACTTGATTTTTTAGTTACAGGCAGACTGAAAAGTTGCTTCAGCATGATCGTGCTGTTTTCCAGACGTGCCTAAAAAACACATTCGAGTATTTCCTTTCAAACCAGAAATAGAAAATCAGTCCTCCCCCAGGTGATACTCACTTTCTATTCTGCCTAAACAAGCTTCCAGAGCTTTCTGGAAAGTTTAAATTAACGGGCTACAGTACACTGATACGGTGTTATAGTTCTTGGCAGGTGTTTGACTCAAAAGCTCATCGAAGGTCTGTGATGGTCACTGCTCTGTCCACAACAGTCGCATGGCTGCAGCTCTGCAGTAGGGAAAAAGGAAGAAAGGGAAAGTCCCGGAAAGTTCTGAAAGGTCATCTTTGAAAACTCCTTACTTACAATGCTCACTCTGGCCGGTGGTTCCCAGGCTGGCAGCCAGACGGCTACTCAAATGGCAGTTACGGTAAAGGGTCTGGGACTTATTACTTCTACCAATCCAGACCTGCAGACTGAATCAATGTAGGCCCAAGCACCTTCATTTGTTTCTCCACTGAATGTATATTCTGGAGTCATTCATAAAATACATACTTAAGAGAACTGCTGAACTCATTGCGGCTTTTGGGTAACTATGTCAGCCAGACAGTAAAGCACATCCACTGTCACGCGGGGAGTGCTCCCTTCTGACTGGCACACGGGGTCTCCACGACTGAAAGCCTGGGCTGTGCGGGGGGTTGTGCAGCCCGTTTCAACATCTTGGTACCTACACACTTACTACATTCCAAGGCAGACTAACCTATTCGTGACCAGATCTGTCAAAAAGTTCTTTCTCACTCTCAGCTGAAAACTGTCATTCCACAAGGTCTGAAGTTTTAGTTCTGAGAGTCACATGAAACACCGTTGATAGCTTTTCATAAAACAATTCTTCCAACACTTACAGATTCTCAGATCCCCTCTGGGGTTCTCTCCTAAACAACCCAGTTCCTTCTATGTGACAAGGTTCTAAGTCCCTTTTCCATACTGGTGACTTTTCAGTGAATCCAAAAGAAATAATAATATTCCATGACCTGCATGGAGTGAAGCAATACTATCACATTAGATTCGAGGGGGAAAGTGAAATGTGCTTAATCTTACCACAGTTGAAACTTTAATTCACAGAGTACCACTTGGGGAAAAAAAACTTCCTAAGAAAGTCATAAAAATCCCTGTTATCTAAGCAAAATTCCAAAAGCAAATATACTTTACCTATCTTAAACAGCTTTTTTCCTTTGAATTCAATCTCTTACTGAAGTGCAGACTTAGCAACTGATGTAGATAAAGACGAAAACCCAACATTTAATAAGCAAGCCACTGCACGTGGTACTTTCTGTGATTCCTTCATTTAACCCTGTCAATAACCCTATGAAGTGGGTATTATTATTATATCATCTCCATTTACAGATGAGAAAGCTGTGGTCCAGGAAGGTTAAGTAACTGGATCAGAGACACACAGTCCTTAATAAGCAGAGCTAAGATGCAAACCCCTCCCTGTCCCACACTGCTCCCCCCGAACGTCTACTAGGGAGATGTGGAAAAGCAAGTGACAAGGCTGATCTTCTACGAGGGTCAGAAAGGGCAACACGCCTCGTCAGCTCTGACTGCCCTCCCTGCTTGCAGCACAGCTCCGATTTCTTCTACGTGGATACCTACACAGAAGAGGGGCGGCTCCTTGCTGTGTGGATGAAAGCCCTTCTGGCGACAGGAAGAAATCTCTTCTAGTCCGTGGTCAGTTAGTCTAAAGAATCCAGTTCTGAAACAAGAAAAGGCAGGTCCAGAATCAAGCAAAGGCGTCCCCTCAACCACACACACACAGAGCAGGGCACAGCTCATTGTGAGACAGCTTCACAAGTGCGCCAGCTCACAGGCCTCTTCTCTGGGGAATGCATCAGAGTTAGAGAGCTCATCGCTTCCACCACGCTAGTTTTGCTGGGAGAATTCATAGTTAAAAACCAGGATTTAGAATAAAAAAGAAGTTAACTTTTGGACGTAGTTTATGGATTTTGGAATTCTCTAATCTGAAATCAATCTCTTGAAATTCCTACTGCTTCAAGTCAAACACTTCAAATTTCGTGTGTCCCTTTCTTAGAAAAGCACCTCGGTCATTGCTGTGACACTTTGTAAACCAGTAGACCAGGCTTATTAGGAATAGAGAGCTTAAGAGGAAGCCTTTGGAAAAAGCCAAACAATACCACAATCTATATATTTTATGGAGAACAAGGTCTTAAGAATGGAGACCTTTTCCTGAAGCTTTTCCCCTACTATCTCCTTGTGAAACCCTGAAACGCATCCTGTGTACTTACTCCTGGAACTTGGGGGAACAAACGATGGCTATCGACTCCGGCAGCATCATCTGGTAGGAGCAGTGAGTGTGCAGGTCAACACTGGAGAGGAAGGCAGTCTGTGTGGGATGAGTCTGGGAAGAGAAAAAAAGCCAGGGACCCCTTTAGTGAGAATACACAGCCAAGCCTGGTCCACGAAGGAAAGCAGAGCCAAATAATTCTCAGTAACTTACCATAATCTCCTTAAATACAAAGCCATTAGCAGCCCTGAGGAATAGATCTGAAGTTCCTAGTAAGTAATGAACTTCCTTCCCAGCATTGCAAACAAGTATAGCTTAACGTGAGTCTGTGAAGAGACTCAGTTTCTAACTGACCACCAGGACTTATCTGGCTCCTCACAAGCTCTCTCTACACAATGTCCTACTGGAACAGAAAGCACATGCTGCCCAGCACTTCAACGTGGTAGGCGTCACGGGCTGCACAAGCCACAGTCCGCTGAATGATTCTTCTTCTGGACATACATGTTAAAAGGTCAAGCATGAGTCTGGGGCTCAAAAGGCAAAAAAAGCCAAAGATATGAGAGAAAGACGGTGACTGGGATTTCAGTGGGGAGTTAAATCCACAAAGGACACTGTCTTATTTGGCAAAAGGACTAAGATATTGAAATTTGAGGGAAATCACCATCTAAATTCATTAAAGTTTATCTTTAGTTTATGTACTTTCTTATATGTGTTCTATGTCAAAGATAAAGGTTTTGAAAAAAAATCAAAACAGAACACGTATTTTCACACTAAACCATAAATCAGGCAAACTGTCTCTCAACCTGGCTATTCCTTAAGCCACCATCCCGTCTCTTTCCTTTCCTCTAGGGCTACACTCTTCAAAAAATTAGTGTATACTTCACTATCACGACAACCTCAATCTCCATTACTTCTATTACTTCTTAAACCCTTATAATCTACTCCCACCACTGCCTAAAAACCCCACTAAACTGAGTTCATCAATTATCTCATCAAATCCAACAGGCTCATTCAAGCCTTCATCATTCTGGAGCTCTCCGCAGCGTGGGACATAGTTTAACATCCTGAAGTTTCTTCTTAAAATGTTCCTCCTCCTCTGGCTTCGGTACCTTAATGTTAGCCTCACGCTTCTCTTACATCTCTCTGCTTCATGACTGACTATTCCCTGTGCTCCGCTAGGTGGCCTGTCCTTCAAGCTGTCAGGGAATCTCTTCTTGTTCTCTGCTCTCCTCCAGTTCCTAGGCTTCTAAGGTCAGCTCTACACAGAGGTTTCCCAGTTCCCTTTCCCACCTTGACCTTGTTCCCAAGTTTCAACTGCCTGATAGATACCCCCACTGTCTGACCAGTATCTTAAATTCAACAGACTCAGAACTGAAAACACCATTTGCCCCACTTTCAAGTAAGTTCTCCTACTGAAGCCTCTGTTTCTGCTTGTGAGATGATCACTGCCTGAAATCTCTAAGTCATCGCCTTTAATCATCATCCTCTCTTACTCACTCCCCACATGCTCTTATATCCTACATTTATCTCTTCCTTTCCAAATATGCTGCCATCACCCTAGCTCTCATCATTATGAGATGTTATTACCACACTAATCTCTTAAATGATCTCCCTGTCTCAACCTATGCACTAAAAAGCAGAACTATGCTGTCTGTCCCCCCCAAACCCTCCAGAACACTGTTCCTAATGTATCATGTTAAAGCTTATCCTCTACTGTTTCCTGATAGGAACCACAAACCCCAGCAAGCTGGACCACTCGATGCTCCACGAACGCAGTCAGCCTAGTCCAATGCTGTCCCCCCCATACGGAACTTCCCCCTGGCCCATCTTGTCAGAATTCTAGTAAATCACCCCAGGTGTCATCTCTCCCTCCTCTGAATTCCACAGTGCTGTTCGCACCTCTTGAGGCACTTGCCTCACATGAAGAGCTATGACTTGTCTATTTGTCAATCTTCCTTGTGAGACTAACATCATATCTTACTCAAGTTTGTATCCCCTGGCAGATAAATACAAGTTTTCTACCCCCATGTACTATAATGGAGGACACACAACAGAAGGCAAATATCTGTGAAAGGACACAGGGGCACGGGACAGCCTCACGGGTCAGTATTTCCCAAATTCTAACAGACAAGTACGTGCAATCTTCTCAAATCCAGAAATGAGCTGACTTGTTTGAATGCAACCCTGTCACACAACATGAAAAACAGCTTGGTCTATGAGAATGAGGGGTTGAAAAGGAACAGAAAGAAAAATTAAGAAGTAATCTCTAGAGTGGGGGAGAGTATAGCTCAAGTGGTAGAGCACTTGCCTAGCATACATGAGGTCCTGGGTTCAATCCCCAGTACCTCCTCTGAAAATAAATAAACAAATCTAATTACCTAACCCCCGCCAAAAAAAATTTTTTTTAAAAAAGAAGTAATCTTTAGAGATGGAATTATGGTTTACCTGAATATTACCAGAAGACTGTATACGATATACAGACACTTGAAAATCACCTATATTGGTGGCCCTTCTGATTTATATAAAGGTATATGCTGCTTTAAGAAAGACCAATGTAAACATCTGAATTAACTTCCTTGGCTCATTTAAAATGTTTTTATTTATATGCCTTTGAGGAACAGCATTCATATATAGTAAGGCATAACCTCTACAGTCAATGTCCACATATGTTCTAGGCTAGCATCCTATCCTCATTCACGTTCACAGGGAAACTGGGACTTTAGGGAAACAAGTTCACTTTTATTACCTTTTTTTAAAAATTAAAAAGCCCTAAGTAGTTTCCAGAAATCAATACTGGAGTGCAAGCAGTTAAGTATGCTAGAGAAGTCAAGTCTGCATCCAGCAGAGGGAAAAACAGTCAGCTAAATAATCTAGCTACAACTCACTTTGCTCCAAGAGAAAAGCAAGCAGTGTGTTTATAACATCATGCGAGAAGAGGAGACGACCCCTCGGAGAGCCCGGAGTTGCTTACATGAATCCAGCCCAGTGTGATGAGACCCTGCTGATCCTGTATGAGGAAAAGCTCCTCTTCGTTCTCCGTGTTGCAGTAATCGGACCCAGCACTTTGCTTGGGGATGAGAACGTGGGTAATGGTAAACTCATTCCTCATCTGTCAAATGAGAAAACAGCTCGTCACAGTCCCCTGGTGTTTAGGCAGCCCCCATCCGTCAGCATCTATACAAGGGAAAGCCCTTCCCCCGGGGTGCGTCTTCTTGGGAGGTGAGTCCTTCAAGTTAGCGGTTCACACCCCTGGCTGCCCACGCGCACTGCCTGGGGCACTCGGCAAAGCCACAGATGCTCACAGCCCTGTGGGAATTTCCTGCTGCAGCCAAACAGGTCTACTCGTGGTTCTTGAGAAGCTCTGGGTACAGCACCATTTCTCTTCCTTTGTTATGTCTAAAGTACTGTGTTTTACTGTTTCTCTAAGCCCTTCCCAACCTTTAAGGTTCAGTTTGAGTCTATTCCACTTTATTCACTAATTTATTCAGCAGTTTAAATGGGTTCTTTAAGCAACTCCATGTAATGATCCTTCCTTCCTCATAATTTGCAGTGTTTGGTTTTGTTTTGTTTTTAGTAAGTCAGCATGCTGCTTAGCTCTTGGTGTGCATCTCCCATCCCTCCTAAGTGCTCGGGTACTTTCTGTGTATACAGGCTATGTGCCTTACATAGTTCACGTTCCCAGGTCCTATCATAAAGCCGATGCTCAAAAACTGATAGACAGGATCTTCCTACCAAGTTTAGAATTAGGCATTTCCTAATACTAATATTAAAATCATCATTCCAATTCAAGGGACTCTGAAAATCAATCAAATACAGGGTAAGCAAATTCAAGGTGACATTGCACTATGCTGTCCATGGCGCCTTTGGCAGAGGGATAGGCACAAAGGGTAACGGATCCTGGGTATCTTCTCTGAGCGTCACAGGCCAAGAGGGAAGAAACAGTGTCAGCTCAGGAAAGCTTTTTTTTTTTTTACCAGTTTTCCACAGAGAATTCCACAGGTCTCTACTCCCCGGGCAGTGTTGGCACTGGCCAGCTGGAGAAACTGGGGGCAGAGCTTCCCAGGTACCACCACGTGGCGCAGTCCATTGATTGTGGGGGCTGTGATGGAGAAAGAAGGAAAGTCTGAGTCCTGGGGCAGAGCCTCCCCAAGCAGACCTCTGAGCAATGCCAGATCACTGGGGTCCCCCCAACTGTAAGAAGTAAATGGCAAAAAAAAAGGGGGGGCTGCAAAGTCTCTCCAACCTCTGGCCACAACCATTGGGAGTACGCTATTTCAAGAACAGAAAAGAGGCTTTAATCATTCAAGTTAAGACAAGGGTAAACTACCACTTAAAAGAAGCTTCTGAGCTGTTCAGGAATAACAGTGAGAGACAATCCTGCCGAGTACATGGGGAGAACCTGAAGGCCAGGCTTCAGAGTCCAGCACCCCTCGCCCACTCTTACACTGTCCTTTCAGGTGGATCTTTTGTAAAGCTGAATTCCTTAAATGACTACTTGAAAGACAATTCCTAACAAAAAGATTTATTCTAATAACCAAGGCATACTCAACATTTTTCTCAGATAGCTGTTCACTGGTGAGAGGAGGAAAGACTCAACAGTTTTTATGGCTAGACTGAATTATCCCTGACTACATACAATATTTACCTTGCGTAAGCTCCTTAAGGATTAGGAATGTTTGCAGGGCAAGCACAAGTCAGTAGCTCTCTTTTATCTTTTAAAAGGCAGTTGTTGAATTACAAAGTAGTACTATAAATGTCAAATTTCCTTTACAGAAGGTCAACAGTGGTCTCTAGTTCACTGGACATTTCAAATCTCTGTATAACTCTTAAGAGCTGAAGGTCTGACTTTCAAGGATATTATTAGCTCTTCGGAAAATCGACCTGGCTCAGGTAAGTTATATGGCTTAAGCTAAGGCCACTATATAATACAGCTGTGATAGAACACAGCATGGTAATACTGATCGATGGATTTCTGTGACCAGAGCCTAATAAATGGGTCATGGAGGTAATTTTAGGCTGAATCCCCGAGAATGACACTCTGCTTGGCTGAAGCTGAGATGGAAGAGGACGTGAACAAATGGACTCACTACCTGCTGAGTTGCTCAGCGCTCCGGGTTTCAAGGACCTGTCCACTACAGGTGGCTTGGCAGGCCGTACAGTTGTATTACAGTCTGAAGGCTGCGTGGATATGACAGGCGCCATGGGGAGGACATCGAGGGGGGGCTTCTCCAAGTCAGGTATCAGTGGGCCACCCAGGCCAGGGTCCACCTTCCCAAACTCCTGTACAATTTTCAGTCGTTCTTTCTCGAGCTCCTGGTTCCGGATCATCTCCTCAAAGGCATGGAATTGTTCCTGCTCCAACTGTTGCTGCTTCTGCTGTGCAACCCTCTGTTTTTCCTTCTCCAGCTCTTGCTGGATGGCTACGTTCCGGGCGAATTCTTCCGCTTCCCTCTTCTACGAAGAAAGAACAGGAGTTAGGCTAACACTTTACACTCAGGGGATTTCACACCTTAGGAGGACGAGGCTTTCCAGCAGGGAGATTTCCCCAAATGCGCTTCTGCTGTAGCCTGATTTCCTGACACACAATTCATGCTTCCCTCAGTACCTCTACACCCACTCCTGCCTTTCTGAGAGTCCCTGTAAACCTATTCTTCAAGAACAGTTAAAGTCCCCTATCCTCTCAAGACACTTTCCAATGACTCTAACTAATGCATTTTCTTCTCTACCAAAATCCCAATGCAACTTACTGTCTGCACCTCATAATCTGTGCCACACAATTTCATTCTCTAAGTGCGCCGCCTTGTATACATTGTTTCCCAAGTAAGGCTGTGAAATAGAACCAAATCCCAGCTTACACCTGCTCTGGTGGGAGTCTCTATTCAATTTTAACCCAAAATGAAGCCTCTGAAATTTTTCTGGTGGTCAGTACAATATAGAGTAGCATTTTAACAAGAAATATCAAGCAACAATCTGCTTCATGAAGGTTTTCACTCATTCGGTACCTTAGAAACACACTGCTGTGTACCTCCCTGCCAGGGTTCAGCATCAGAGTCCAGAAGAGAGCTAACACAGTGCCACGGAATACCGTGGGAGTGCCTGCAGTGTGTATTCTCATCTGCCACAGGCCACTGACACTGCCTTGGGAGTTTTTCCATGTGCTTTAACTGAGTCTTACAAACAAGAATCACTTGAAAATAGCTTGGAAAAACACCCCAATTATAATAAACAGGTATAACCTGTTTCAAATATAACCAAATGTGAATCAAATCTCCCCAAATTCGCTGAGCTAAAACCCCTCTGTTTTAGTGACAGTTTTCTTTGTTCTTAGGTTCTCACTCTAGACACAGCAGACAAGCAATAGATTTTCTGTCCCTCAAGTCATCTTCTTGGACAAGCAGGCTAAATCTGTACCAAAATCCTCAGCTTAAACACCTTTCTTGAGTTTCTGGCCTTTGTCCAAAAAAAATAAAACATTACATTAAAATCAAAGGATCTACTGAAATGTCATATCAGAATCCTAGGGCACACAGCCTAAGAAACCAAAATAATTTCCTTTTTTTTTTGCTGTTACATACTCACTTTTTCTTCATTATATTCTGCATATTCTTTGGTATATCGTTTTAACAGTTCTGCCTTCAGCTCTTCTGCTTTGGGAAATGCAATCTCCTTTAATTTCTGAGACACGAAATCAAAAACTGAGGGTTAGAATAATTCCCAGCTAATTAAGTAGAGAAGTAAAAAGACTTAAGTCAACTTGACAATGGCAACAATGTTCCTAAAAACATTTAAATAATTTAAATTTAAATTTAAGTTAATTTAAAATACCCCCTATACCATACCTGATACTTCATGACTGATCTAATGAAATGGCCTTATGTCCTATTTGCAGGTGTTGATGCTCAGATGCAGACACGGCTGCTACTTGTACCTAGCAGTTAGTCTGTGCCGCCGTGAAGCTTTTAGATGGCCATCAGTGAGTGTGAAGACTCACCTTTACTGTGTCTTTCTTTTCAGGGATGACAGCTGATTTGTAATCTCGATGCTTTGGTAGTTTCTCAATAAAGAGCCTAAGGGAACAGATCAGAATGATTGTGATGCAAAGAAAATGTCCAAATGTCCAAAAGACTCCGAAACAATGCAGCTCGCTGATCCCACTGCGACTACGTGATGGGTCTGCAGACATGCATGGCTAACAGGCACACCCTGACAGCCCACGTTCCCCACCCATCTCCAGCCCTGTAAGGACCAGCAGAGTGTTGTCCTCTTCTCCCAAATCAGGTGTGCCGCAGCAAACACTAGACTCCTACTACAGAAAAGATGGGGGGAAAAGCCTATCCTGTGCCCAAAAATAGACCTCTGAAGAAGATTCTTTTCTTGTTGGGACAGTGACAGGCTTCCAAAGGAAAAGGTTTCTGTCACAAATCATTCTTCAGAGAACGGTTTGGCAGCCAAGGGCAGGAGGCTAAGAGAAAAACCGTGTTCTTTTACTAGTCTTAGCTCTGTGTGACTTTTAATGTTGGCTTTTTTCTTTAGAACTCATATTATTTCCAAGAAGAATACTCCCTGCATCAGACTAAGCACTGAGATGCTTAGATAGTACATGTGCTGTATGTGTGTAACATGTGCGTGTTACACGTGTGATTGCATCATCATCTCTGAGGAAAAATGCTGAGAGAAACACGGCGCTAGATTTTCTCTTTCAGTTCTTGTCCTTGGCTGGAAAGCTCAGTGGGAAAAATAAACTGAATCAATTCATAGACCTCTAACATTTATGATGTCTATTTGGGGACAGTGAAAACAAGCAGAGATTCAGTAACTTGTCATAGTCAAAAGTGGCGAGTTCAGAATTTCAATGCCAGCAGGCCAGCTCCAGTGTCTACTCCCAGCCACTAGATCATACTGCCTCCTCATGGCTCCTGGGATGTCCAGAACTGTTGGAGGGGTTCTGAACAAAAATGTCTTTTAATTGAATTAAGTTGTAACAAACACAAACTGAGACCCAAAACAAATAAATTAAGGGTAGCTTGGCCACAGCCATGAAATACTATAATATAGTTGGGATTAAGTGACTCTCCTACTTTCTGCCCATGGGTAGGAGTAAATGAAGGGGGAAACCTCAGTAAAGGGAAAGAAGAAGATCCCCACCAAAGCAGATCCCTCAACAGATACGCTGTCCTCCTTCAGTTCTGTATTAGTCACGTGAAAATTTCATTTCAATCCAATTTGACAAGGCCTCTTAGGCAGGGATGAATTCCAAGCTAATTCTAAAAAAATCTTTCTTTGGGTTCATGAAAAATGTATAAAAGTTTCCCTGAAGTCCATACTTGAAACAAACACAGATTCATTTTCAACCATAAAGACCTGAAGAGGATATTAAGATAAATAAGACAAAGGTCTTGTGTTCAAGAGATCTGTAATTCAGGGACTGTGAAGACCAAGGTACGTGTTCACTACCTTCAACAGGCTGAGTGTTCTCAACTAATACTGCCATGCCATTTAAACACCATGCTTTATTTTCACTTACGCTCTCAGCCTGAAGAACTTTAAAGTTCCCGAGGGCCAGAGATTTCTGTGTCTCATGCTTCTTTGTTTATTCCTCTAAAGCCAGCACAGTGCCTTGTATGAAGAGGCACTGAATACACAGCTGATGAACAAAACTGTCCTAAAAAACTTGGATGAGCTGAGTGAAAAAACAAAGTGTAAAAAAGTATAATAATATATAACTTATGTGTAAGAACGGGGAAAATTACACAGAGGCGTATCTTGGAGATATTGCAGGTTTGGTTGCAGACCACTGCAATAAAGCAAATGTTGCTATAAAGTGAGTCACAGAAATTTTTTGGTTTCCCAGTGCTTATAAAAGTATGCTTACACTATACTGTAGTCTATTTAGTGTGCAACAGCAGTATGTCTAAAAAAGAGCATACTTTAATTAAAATACTTTATTGCTGAAAAATGCTAACCATCATCTGACAATGCAAGGTTGCCACAAATCATCAATTTGTAAAAAATGCAGCACCTGCAAAGTGCAATAAAATGAAGTATGCCTGTATGTTTGTATACGTATTTATTTATTTTGCTTATAAATATATAAAGTAATGCAGGAAGTATATACAGAAACTAATAAAAGTAGAGGGCAGGGGAAATAGAGCAGATAATACAAGACTGAAAAGTGAAACTTTTCACCAAATATACCTTTTTTCCGTTATTCTGATTTTGAACCATGTAATGAAAACTAGTTTACAAGCAAAGATAAAACTCCCAGACCTGAACATGAATACCTTTCTCTTATTTCAGTAACTGCAGTCAATTTTCTGAATGGGGACATATGGGCAGAAGGGTCTCCTGAAAACAGAATGGGCAACATAACCCATTGCCTGTACTGGAGGCAAAAGGGCTTCGTGTTAGGACAGCAAGCTGTGGAGCCACTGTGTTTAGGTTCAAATTCTGACTTTAACCACTTACTAGCTGTGTGACCTCTGGCACCATCCTTCAGTTTCTCTCTCTCTCTCTCTCTATATATATATAAAAATTATAAATATGGAGACAAACTAAGACTACCTGAAAGGGTTGCTAAGACACTAAAAATTTTAAAAAACAAATAAATAAAGTGCTGAGCACAGTGCCTACCACATAGCCAATATCTACTATATGTTTATGTGATTGTTTTTACCAATAAACAAAAATGTAAGCAGGAAGAAAAGGTGAAGATGTTAACAGCAGGGTCAGAAATTTTCTAAGCAGAGACTAGCTGTGGCCCAGATGTATACTGTTCTCTGGGTTATATCTGGTTGCAGCCTAGAGAGAGGAAATATACCAAAGCAAACAAAGGTGCGTTGGCAAAAACACAAGCAAAACAACTCAACAGAACAACAGAAAAAGGGAGATACACAGAAAAGTAAATACAAAAGGTAAGTAACTATTTAAAACGGTACTCAACTTTACTTATAAATGAAGGAAATTCAAAATGGGATGAGATACCATTTTCATCTATCAGACTGGCAAAGACCTAAAAGTTGATTACAACCAGTGTAGGCAAGGGCAGAGAGAAATAGGTGTCCTTACACACTCTTAGCAGGACTATAATTTGATAACACCTTTCTTCTTAGGGGAGGCAGGGGAGTGGGAGATGAGCATTTAAAATTTTAAATGTCTACACCCTTGAAACTCACAATGCTACCTCTGTGAGTATAGCCTACACAATAACACAAAATATATGTATGACTATTCAATACCGAATTGTTTGCAAAAGTAGGGAAAACTGAAAACCTAAATGTCTATCAGCAGGGGATTATTTAATAAATTATGGTGTACCCAAATGTGAAAAACAACATAATCACTCACTCATTCATTCAACAAATATTTATTGAGCATCTACTACGTGGCCAGACATTACTGTGGGGATTTGGCAGTGAATGACTCAGTCACAGGTTCATTCCCATCAGAGTGTACATTACAGTGGAGGAACAGACAATAAACAGAAGAAAAAGTATACAGACAACCAATGCTAGGAAAAAGTCATTAATAGAGAAGGAGACAGGAAGGGACAGCGGAGGAGCTGACATTTTAGATAGGGCAGCTAAGAAAGGCATCGCTGAAAAGGTGGCATTTAAGTAAGGACTGGAAGAGTGAGCCATGAAGAAGTCTGGAATAAGACTGTTCCCGGCAGAGGAAAGAGCCCTAAGGCAAAATGAGATGGATCAGCATGTCCTGATTTCAGAAGATACAACTGTTAAGAAAGCAAGTCACAGAAAAGAATGTATTATACGATCTCAATCATGCTTTAAGAAAAAAAGATAAACACATGGGCTCACGTGCTTGCACAGGCATAAACACGTTCTTAATAAACACACAAACACAGAGGAAACGTAACGGTGATTACCTCTGGTGAATGGGAATTTTTTTCACTTTAATATTTTCCTTGCTGTATGGTTTGAAAAACATTTTTAATCAGGAACAGACATTAATTTTACATAAAAACAACTACTTCAAAAAGTCAAGCAGAAATTCTGTAACATGGATGTATTAAGGGCTCTAATTTCTTCCAATCTTAAAAGTTAGTTAGCCGAGTAAGCGTGATCACAGATGAAAACCCTCTGCGGTCCATAACCCCCAACCTGGGGGCCAGCATTTTCTATGCAGGTGACAGACCACTTCCAGAAAGCAGGTTTGTATTGCGGGAGGCTCACAGCAGACCGGAGTTGCCTAAGTCCTCTGTAACTCTCCTCTCTGTGGCCTAGTCAATGACCATAAAAAGCTGTGAAAGAATCCACTGCCTGGATTATTGTCTGTGCTCACCATGAAAATATGTACTGATTTAATATGCTGAGGCTCCTTCTTCTCTGGTGGGGTCTGCAAAAGGCAAAGCATTCCTAGAGCAGGGAAAGTCTCTGCGGGGGGAAATGTGCTTGAGATCATTAGGACACCTCACTACTTGAGGGAAAAGAACAAACATGCCTTTTAAGCTCCTGAATTAAAGTACCCACAAAAGGTCTAGCACAGTGACTCAGTCATGGGGGGAGGCAGAGGAGTGGTGAGGCAGAGGCCTACCCCTCTCCTTCCTCTCTCCTTAGTCATAATAATTGCCAAAGTGAGCTGTTCTTACTGACGGCAATAAACCAAGGAAAATGTGGTAGAAAAACAGACCAAGAATACTGAGCTAGAACTTTTTTTGTACCTCCCAGGCCTTGTCAGTTCACAGAATCAAAATTAGGGTCTTGAAGATATCTGCGAGAAAAATGAAGGTAGCTACATTTATTGATTCAGGGCAAGCCAATCCAACAAAGTCCCAAAGTAAACCCCAGATCTGACGAATTAAGTGAATGTGCTGCTACCTTCTGCCCTCCTCTCACTCGACTCTCCTCTGTGCCAGGCTCATCACGTTTAATGGTCCTGTGGGCAGAGCAGCTCACACAGGGACAGACTCCCTGCACAGGTCTTGTTAACACTGATATGCAGATCACTCAAAGAAATACCATATTACCGAAAAATATCAGTGCCTTAAGTTTCTGTGTAGTCTTAATCCTACTACCCTCTTGCCTATTTAGGGGTTTACTTCTACACTGATCGCTCTCTTTTCTGTACCATCAGCCTCTCCATCTCCACAGTATCCCTTCTATCAGCAGAAAAAAAAAATATGCTCTAGAATCTCCCACCTTAAAATACACATACACACACAATCATGTACTCCCTGCCCGCCTTCAATTACTTTCTCAGGTTTCCACTTTACTTCCTATTCAAACTTCTCCAAAGAGTTTTCTCTGTCAGGGCTTGGCACACTATGGCTAGTAGGTCAAATCCAGCTTGCCATCTGTTTTTGTAAATAAAGTTTTACAGGAACATAGCCACACCCATTCACTCATGTATTATCTATGTCTTGCTTTCACACTACAGAGTGGAGGTTGCAACAGAGATTAAACTGCCTGCAAAGCCAAAAATATTTACTATCTGGCCCTTTTACAGAAAAAGTTTGCCAATCTCTGGACTATACTCAGGGTCTCTATTTTCTTATTGTCTGTTCACATTTCAATCCACTCCAATTTAGTGTCTCTTTAATCTTCCAGTGAAATTGCTTACCAAGATTACCAATCACATCATGACATCAAACCAAATCCTCACCCAGCTGACACAGTTGGCCACTGTCCTGAAAATACTGACCTCTTTTGGTTCCCATGACACCATTCTCTCCTGGACCTCCTCCTGCCTCCCGAATCTCCCTTCAAAGTCCCCTCTACTGGCCCCTCCCTCCACTAAGCAACCCTGGGGCTCCATCCTACGCTCCCTTTCTTCTCATGCTACAGTCTCATTAGCAAGGTTTCTTGATCTTATTGTCCTGGATCCTTCTGACATCTGATGAAGCCTCTGGATCCTTCTCAGAATAATTTTTTAAAGATATAAAATATGAAGGCGTACAAAAAAACCCAAATCTACTGTAATAGTTTTCAAAATATTAAAAATTATAATATGTGCTTATTTATGTATTATAAACACATTAAAAAACAGGATCTAGTTGTAGGTTTAACAATTGTGTACTGTATATACAATGGAATACTACTCAGCCATAAAAACCGACAACATAATGCCATTTGCAGCAACATGGATGCTCCTGGAGAATGTCATTCTAGGTGAAGTAAGCCAGAAAGAGGAAGAAAAATACCATATGAGATCGCTCATATGTGGAATCTAAAAAACAAAAACAAAAACAAACAAACAAACAAACAAAAACAAAGCATAAATACAGGACAGAAATAGACTCATAGACAGAGAATACAGACTTGTGGTTGCCAGTGGGGTGGAGGGTGGGAAGCAATAGACTGGGATTTCAAAATTGTAGAACAGATAAACAAGATTACACTGTATAGCACAGGGAAATATACACAAAATGTTATGAAAACTCACAGAGAAAAAAATGTGACAATGAGTGTGTATATGTCCATGAATGACTGAAAAATTGTGCTGAACACTGGAATTTGACACAACACTGTAAAGTGATTATAAATCAATAAAAAATGTTAAAAAAATAATTGTGTACTGTAATTCTCAAGTGGTGATAAGAATAAATGCTATTTTGAGATACAGCAACAATTATAATGTAATATGAAAATACCCTGATTTCTATTGGTGACAAAATTATAAATATTAATACTACTGTGGTTTGAGGCTTACATTCAAAATTGAAGGAAATGCTAAATTTCAGTTAGAGATTAGTAAAAACAAGAAAAGTTTTTCCCAATCAAGTTCTTGGACCCTGAATTCTACCAGTGAATGAATCCCTGTGGGGTTCCCGGACTCCAGATTAAGAACCTCAGCACTAGAAGGTCTCAGCAGTTCTCATGGCTTCAGAACCAACTACCCGTTGAGGACTCCTGGGCTTGTATCTCCAACCCAGACCTCTCCTGAGCTCAGACTGCTACATCCAACCTCCTACTGCTCATCTCTACTTGGATATCTCACAGATACCTTAAGCTTAATACCTTAACACTTCAAAAAGCCAGGCCTCCCCTCTAGAATCTCCCCAATACCCAACCCCTTTTGGACACCACATCTCTCCATCTCAATAAATGGACCAACATCCTAAGTTACTCAAAGCAGTAACTGAGGTCAACCTTGATACCATCTTCTTTCCCAAATTACCAGGACGTTCCATGGACTCTATCTGCTCCCTTCCAGGCCACCATGCGCCTTCAAGCCACCAGTCTCTCTCTTGAACTGTTGTTAGGAGTTGCCTAACTAATCTCCCTGCCTTCTTTTAACACTCCCTCCACCATTTACCACCTAGCAGCCAAAATGTATATTTTTAAAATATAAGTAAGGTTAGGTCACAACCTCACTCAAAACTTCTCAGTGGCTTTCTACTGCTCTCAAGATAAAATGTAAAGTCCCTACCATGGTCTGTAAGATCCTGCAGGATTCAGCCACGCCTGCCTCCCCAACTTCCTCTGTAGCCCTTGTCCCTCTTCACCTGCTGTACTCCAAACACAATGACCTTTCGATCCCTAGACCACACTAAGGTCTTTCCTACCTAAGAGCTTCCAAAAACATAGTTGCATCTGTTCTAAATGGTATGCTTTAGGCTCTTGGAATGACCAGCTCTATAGCACCCTTCAAGTTTCAGTGTAAATCTTACTTTCTCAGATAGCTCTTATTCTATTTAATTTCCCTATTTCCTTGTTTTGGGGACTGTGTACTTATTTCTTTACTTGTGACTATCTTCTCCCATAACCATAATAAAGGGCCATTTTACTTATTATTTGTACAGTGTCAAGCAGTTAGTAGGTATACACAATACGTATTTGCTGAATGAATTTGGGTCCGCACCCTCAAAGCACTTTCTACGTGGGGCAAGAAGACCCAGAAAATACCTGGTAGAATGATTCCATGATTCTACTGAACTTCCTCAACTACCATTCTCTGAAGGAATTGTGCCTCTCATTCTGGGAGAGTTACGAGATTACTGGAAATATATAAGAAAGCTACTTCTGCCAGCAGCAGAGTACATGGAGAGAAGGAAAGTAGCCAAAGAAACTCTTCAGGAAGATTAATTCGGTGCCCACTGTGCCTAGGAATGAAAAACTCATAACAGCAAAGAGAGGCAGAAATGTAATTATAATTGTATAAAACTTTATCAACATTGAGGACACATAACAAGGCATAATGACATGGATGGACTGTAAGATCTTGGAGGAAACAGGCACTACTTCTAAATGTTAAAAAAAAAAAAGACAACAGCAGTCACTTTTACAACACGAATTCTAGGAAATCCACTCTTCACCTACGTTTTTTTAGAGCACTGGTCTCAGCTGGGGCAATTTTCTCTCTCAGGAAGCATTAGGGGATGTCTGGAGACATTTTTGGCTGTAACAACTTTAGGGGAAGGGGCTCTACTGGCATCTAGCAGGTAGAGACCAGAGATGCTGTTAAACACCCTATGGTGCACAGGACACTCCCTGCAACAAAGAATTATTCAGCCCAACATGTCAATAACACCAAAGCTGACAAACCCTGCTTTAGAGTAGTATGTGATCAAAACCTTCACATGATGTAACTGATAGGCATACATCACCTCCAGAAGAACAGAGAAGAAACAAATCAGAGTGACTGTCTCTGGGGAGGAGAACTGAGGGTTTGAGGGGAAACAGGAGTGGTAGCGAGATTTATTTTTAAATATATATACTTTTTTGCGCCTTCTGAATTCTGTATGACACATGCATGTTACCTATTCAAAAAACAATAAAAAATAACCAAAAAGTAGTGTGGCTCAAGACCATGATCTCAAAAGACCACCTTCAATTCATGAAACATTACCAAAAAGAAAAGAAAAAAAACAAAAATTAAAAACAAGTGCTCTGTTGTAGAACGAATCCTGAATTAAGAGTTAGAAAATCTGGGTTTTGTCTCTATAAACAATGGAACCAAGCCTACCACTAAACCTGAAGCCAATTTCCTCACAGGTGGCATGCGAGGACGATGTGCCTTACTTAATGTACACGGAACTGTGACGCTCAAATAAAATACTCTATGAAGTATTAAGAGCCATACAAATACAATGTGGTTACTATTATTATTTTAGGGTCTTGGTATTATGAAAGAATATGACTAGAAGTTATAAATGAGACCCTTTAACTAATTCCCTTCCTGAATTTGACACCATTTAATTATCACTGGGGTTTTTAGGAACTGTTCCCTGTTAACTGAACCGAAAATTTTGATTTTTGCTGCCTATCCTAAGGAGCTAAGCAACTTAAGAAAAAGTTTTTATGGTGAGCTACACAAACTGTAGGTGGTCAATACTTATTTGATGATTTGCATGATTATGATTAAGGTTAAGAAGAAAACACTTTTTCCTGAATCACTCAGTTTGCTACAAAATAAGCAGAGGTGAGGGATTTTAGCTCTGCTAAACCTCAACAATAATCCTAAGATTGGCTGTCTAAATAGAGAAAGGACAGGAAAAACACTCATCAACACAAAACATGCATAGTTTAAACACCATCTCTCTTGCCTAACAGCTGGGCCATGTGGGATAGGCCAAAGAGCTAGGTCTCTTACTCATGAAATGACTGAGTCATGAAAACAACACTTTCAATACTCATGTCTTTGAATGTCAAGGACAGCTAATGTGTAGGAGCTGCCAGCAACAATGATTAATGATGATGATGTTGTAAAGTTCTCTAGTTTTAGCAATTCTGAGCAGAAATAAATGAGCACAAGAACAGAATGAGTGAGGCATCAGTCACCGGAAAAACAGAGGAAATTGGGAGTGTCTTACGTGATGTACTTGTTATAGAGGATGAAGGCATGTTCAATGTTGCCTTCCTCACAGTAAATGGACGCCATTCGGATAATCTCAACTCCAGAGCGGAAGTACCGTCGGGGTGGAATGTCTTCATTTACCTCCACTGCGCTACCTATCTGGGAGAGAGCCCTCACCCGGTCTTCGGGTGGGAGGCTCACATCTCCATGGTCAGACATCAGGACCAAGAAGTTCTGAAACAGAAAAAACAGATGGCATCAACACCAAAGCCCCATCATCCCAGCGCAGCCTAGTACAGTGTTTATCCCACAAACCTCTACCTTATGAAGAAATTAAGAGAATACCATGTGTTGTGGCTCATATTAAGTAAGATTTCTTTCCCTTGAGAAGCCTGAGCCCCTCAAGGAAGCCCATATCACAATCATAAAAGGCTTGGCACACATGCAAAAACCCATAATCCCTGTGCCATAATTAGGTGGTACAAAGAGTATAACTATGAGCCACAAGGCGTTCAGCTCTACCCTTTGTGTTAACCACTCCCTGTCATTAGGTGGCCCTGCCCTTGGCATCACAAAAAGAGGGACAGTATCTTATATTTTTTCCACTATTTGTCCTTCCAGCGACCCACTTCCATCCACCTCAGTACCTAACAAAGTGTACGCAATGAACTTTCCTGATGATTGTTAAATGACTTCAAGTTTCCTCATTTTAATTTAATCTGAGAGTAACTGACGTTTCTCTGTATCTTCCCACACTTGAGCACAAGGTTAGTTGGGAACTGACATGGGAATGAATGCTCATAAACCTAACTCTGCTCAAGAAACCACTCTTCTAGTCAGTCTACAACACCACACATCATTTCAGGGCAAGGAATTCAGAGCTAGAAAACATTTACTGAAATTTATCTTCAAAGACTAAGCACTCTTTGAATAACAAAAGGACACAAAGGTAACTTGAAATGCAAAAAACAAACCAACAAAAAACCTGGGAGTTTCCCTCCCCCCACCCCGAGTCTCAGTAATTCTACAATCTTTCTTGATATTGTTGCTGTTAAAATCAGATTCCAACTTTTAATCAGGTATCACTCTACATCATTTCCAAAAGGAATCGGAGTATTTACGGGGGGAGGGTATAGCTCAGTGGTAGAGTGCATGCTAAGCATGCACGAGGTCCTAGGTTCAATCCCCAGTGCCTCCAATTAAAAAAAAAAATAAACAAACCTAATAACTACCTACCCCCACAAAAATTTTTTTTTAAAAATCTGGGTATTTGATTACATTACACTGAATTACAGCACACCCTAACCAGCATGCTGTAGAAAACACAAACTATCGTAGATTTTGGAATTCAAGGCCCTGTGTCAGCTGGCCCCGTTTTGTCCTTCCAGTCTTAAAACCTTACTAGTTCCCTGCAGAGATGTTTTTCTTCAGTCAGGATTGTTACCTGCCCAGAAATCCTCACATTTCAGTTTCATTGTCTACCCGCTGTTTTTGCTTTCCATTCCAACTCTTCCCTCAGAGATGGTCTTCTCTGGGCCAATTCCATCTCTAGGTCACACTTCCCTCCACCAAGTGTCTTCTCAAACACCCTCACTAGAGTGCAAAAGCTCTGAGGACTACCAGAGATGTAACGACACTTCATCTCTTGCAGGAGCATTTTCAGGGACTCAGAAAGCCGCTAGCATATCTAAAACCTCCCTAAGTTGCTTATTTAGTAAACTGAGGGCAGAGCCCATCAAAGCTAACTGAAGCATAGTAAGCTTGTTGCTTCTCAGTACCTCCCGGGAGATGATGATCTTTTGGTCGAGAATGCAAACCCCCTCCCGAGGCCAGCAAGCGGTGCCCGGGACTACAGGGCTGAGCAACACTCCAGAGAGGGGAGGCAGCATCCGCAAAAAAGGGGAGAAGGTGGGAAAGGAGGAGAAAGGAAGTAGCAGCAATAAGCGAAAGCGGCGTATACAGCGGAGAGGGATCTCTGGGAAACTGCGTAAGGCCCCCTTCTCAAAGGCACGCAAAGCCCAAGTTGTCAACACCGGGCAAAATTATCGAAGGTTTTGGGTCTTTTGCGTGCGGTAGTTGGGGCCGCGCCGGCCCGGCTGGGGACGGGAGCCGGCAGGAGCCTCGCGCGCGGCGAGCCGGGCAGGAGGCGCGGGAAGGAGAAGGCCGCAGGCCCCACACTCACGGCGGCCGCTCGCCGTCACAGTCCGACCACCCTCAGCGTCCCCGGCGCCACCACACTCCTGGGACTCTTCCCCACCTGTCCCCGCGGACGACACCCGGAGCTTCCGGAAACGTCACGTCCGGCGCCCGCCCCGCCCCCTCCCTCTAATAGTAAAGAAGCTGAGGACCCCAGGCGGAGGCTGGTGGGCGGGGCTAGAGCTGCCACCTGCTGTGGGTGGGTGGGAACCACCAATGAGGAGCGAGCTGGGCGCGGCCATTTTGGTAAAGGAAGATCAACGAGAAAGAAGTGGGAAGCAGGTGGGCAGAGGATCCGATGTCCAAGCTAACTTGTTTTTAGATTAGTACAGACACAGTAAACGGATCAGGACATTCCCTCCATACGAAAGTCTACCCAAGTTGTAATAAACATCCCTTAGAAAAGCCTCAAAAGTGTGCCATCAGATAAAATCTACCACATAAATCATACATTTATTGGAATTAGACTCTGGTAACGTCCATGCTTACCCCATGTCCTCACATTTATGGGTGCGTTAAATGTTTACGTTGTTACAGAACCAAACTTGGGTCCATTTGCCTGCCCAGTAAAGCCAATCTACTGATATAAGGTTGTGGGGAAGGAAAGTGCAGCCTTTGCTACAGGGAGCCAAGCAAGTCTCCTGCTCCATTGCAATAGGTTATGTCAGTCCTAAAAGCCAATTTGTCCCAGTTCTTGGCAGAAAACTGTATGAACTTTACCAAAATTGGTTGCATATTGATCTCTATCCCCAGAAGCCTATCGATGTCCTATATACACTACTAAGAATGTATGAATAAATATCATTGGAAAACCACGAGGTAAGTTGTGTTTTTAGTTATATTTTTATTGCTAAATACATATTCTCAGGTCTTCTCTATGTGGAAATTTGCTTTCTCTGAATTTTCATTCACTTATTTTTTTAGAAATTACTCAACTCTCAGTGCTTCATTTCACCTTAATTTTGTTCACTGCCACATTCAAAAACTCAATGTCCAGTTCTGTTTTAAACCTTTGTGGCCAGAGAGGTAGGCCACATTGGACTCATTGGCTGTTAGGGTCCATTCAGGTTAGTGGCAAGGTTTTCAGAGGAGAAGTATTTGGGGAGATGAGCAGTCATTCTAGTGGTTTCCACTAGTAGGATCTAAAAGTAAATTTCATTTTGTAAACTTTAGCACACCACTTTAGCCTCTCAAGTTCTTTTTTGGATACTGGTTAAATCATTAACCTTTTTTTTAGCATTATATTGCAACAAAATTTTACCTGTAAATTTGAAAAGCACGTTTTCTATAATTATTTCCTTTTCAAACCGAAAGATGTTCAAAGCTTCATTAAAGAAAGATTTCTTCAGCTTGTCACCAGAGATTTCTCTGTTTTCATGGGTTAACATTCTGTTGAGATTATAGAATTTGAGATTACCATCACATAGAAGCAGGTGCACATTTGTTTTAGGTTAGCAGTTAGTTCTTGGTCATCATGATATTCATTAAATGTTTTAACATTTATAACCTATTACAATACCTAATCTGAAGTTTGTTTAAAATGACATTTGAATTTGTCCCTTGCCTCAATGTATGCAGCCTTACAATGTTTTAAAAATATTAGTAGACTACTTAAGATTGTCTGGAAATATTATATCAATATACATGTGTTCTCAACCACTAAATAAATCAATGAATTTGCTTGCTTTTGATCACTGCAAAATTTTCAAGTATTTTTCTACACATGATATTTCATAAATGAATGTGCTTGACAAGTGTTAAACTCTTTAAAGCTGAAAGTCAAACCCATTTGCTTTGGAGTCTGATTTGTATTACCCCATAATTTAATTGTGTTGTTCTGTTGCTTTCCAGAAGAGTATCTACAATTTCTTTAAACTCTAAAAATAGTTACCGTAATAAAAAACGTGATCTGCCTTACTGTATTGTTAACTTTAAAGTTCTGAATCTTATGAAAGAACTACTATTTTGATTTTGGTTAGGGATATCCTGGCAGATAGCCCCTCTATCACACTCACATAAATGCAGCATTCAAAGAGGAATTGCTAATGTGACTATCTGGGTAAACTTGCCAAGTTTTCTAAATCAGGGAAAAGAAAACTCCTTCTGAGAATTTCAGCTTGTTTGTGTTACTTTCTACACAAAACTGATGGCCTGAGTTATTACAGAATTGCTTTTTTTTTTGGCTAGGAAAGAACATAAGACTAATTTTTTAATGTCACATCACCAATAAAAAATATTGAAAATGAGTGTTTTATCTCAAAGGATCAAAGTGCAAAGCAATGGGGACACAAATATCTGTATGACACAGTTTCTGCCCCTGCAACCAGGACAAGGTGGTTATTGACACCAAATAGAGAATGGCATGAATATATGCACAGCCTCATTCCAAAAAGGTCCTGCAAGACTGCTAGTCATTCTGTCTCAGGAAACTTTGTATATCAGCAATCTGAACCTTTATGCTTTGGTTTAAAAGTTCAACTCTGGGCACATTTTAACCTCCAAATTTTAGAAGCCTTCCTGTAAGTTTGTTGGTATGATGATACGATCTATCCTTCAAGGTCTAGCTTAACGCCCCCTGCACGGTGTTACCTCCTCCACCAGGCCAGTGTCCAGATCTCTAATTTCTCTCACTTTCTGTTGTGTATATTTCTCTTGGATTTCCCTGGAGTGATTCTGTGTGGGCATTGGGAAGCACTTATCAGATTCTTTCTCTACTACAAGCATAAATATGCATGTCAGTGCTAGGATCCTCTAGAAGGGGAGGAATGAAAGCCTTTTCTGACTTGCTCAGAGCTCTATTCCCAGTGCCCAGAACAGGTTGGGACCCCAGATGACACTCAGTGAAGATCATTGGATGTTCAAATGTTGTTATATAAATGCTGACCCTAAAATGAATTTCAGGGATGGATAGCCAATCATGGTGATAACTGAGATGAACAATGAAAAATAGTGGCCATTATGCTCTTGGGACCAAATCTTCTCTACAGAACAGTAGAACTAGGAGCAGAATGTTCCAAAGCTAGGTGCCTTCATTCAATGAGCAAATTTTTATTAAGTGCCTGTCATGTTCATAGATCTGTGTCAGGCCATGAGTCTACAATAATGAAAAGAAAAACTCAGTTTCTGTTGTTTGAAGACCCTCATAGATGAGGGCTGAGAGTCATCAGAAGGAAAACAATCTTTTTTAATTTTTTTCATTTTTCAGTTTTATTAGGTTGAATTGTTACAATTTGACAGCACATATACAATGTACTGCATGTAATTACATATACACAATATACTGCAGATGTTTTTTAATTTTGCATATAAGTACTGTTCATTGTTTCTAAGAACGTTTAGAGCTTTGGTGTTTTAAACTTACATAGCTATCAAAGGAATAAAAGCCAACCACGAAATAAGAATAAATTCAAAAGGATATATACACCCTGCTATTAACAGCAACATTATTTATAATTGCTAAGATATGGAAGCATCCTAAGTGCACATCAATAGATGAATGGATAAAGAAGATGCAGCATATATATGTAATGGAATACAACTCACCCATAAAAAAGAAGGCTATTTTGCCATTTGCAGCCCTTCATTCACTTTTTTTTCCCACTCCCCAAACCAGAATGTTATAACTAGCATAAACATTTCCATTGCATCGAAAAGAACAATATATCTAGAAATAAACTTAACCAAGGAGGTTACCTATACTCTGAAAACTGTAAAACACAAACGAAGGGAATTGAAGATGATACAAAAAAAAGGAAAGATATCTTGTGATCTTGGATTGGAAGAATCAATATGATCAAAATGACTGTACTACCCAAAGCAATCTACAGATCCAGTGCAACCTCTGTCAAAGTACTCACGATGTTTTTCAGAGAACTAGAACAAACAATTCCAAAATTTATATGGAACCATAAAAGACCCTAAAGTGCCAAAGCAATCTTTTGTAGGTCTTTTTTTTCTCTTCTTTTTGTTCTATTTTCTTATGGTTTGATGACTCGAGAAGTTCCTTTAACATTTGTTGTAAAGCTGGCTTGGCGGTGCTGAATTCTTTTGGCTTTTATTTATCTGTGAAGCTTTCGACTTCTCCTTCAAATCTGAATGAGAGCCTTGCTGGATAGAGTATTCTTGGTTGTAAGTTTTTCCCATTTATCACTTTAAATATATCTTGACACTCCCTTCTGGCCCAGAGTTTCTGCTGAAAAATCAGCTGATAACCTTGTGAGAGTTCCCTTGTATGTTATTTGTTGCTTTTCTCTTGATAATTTTAATATTTTCTCCTTATCCTTAATTTTTGTCAATTTGATTACTATGTGCCTTGGTGTGTTCTTCTTTAGGTTGATCCTGTGTGGTACTCTCTGCACTTCCAGGACTTAGGTGACTGTTTCCTTTCCCAAGCTGGGAAAGTTTTTGGTTATTATCTCTCCAAAAATTTTCTCAGGTCCTTTCTCTCTCTCTTCTCTTTCTGGAGCTCCTATAATGCAAATGTTAGAGTGTTTCATGTTGTCCCAGAGTTCTCTTAAACTAGCCTCATTTCTTTTCATTCTTTTTTCTTTTTTCTGTTCTGCAGTAGTGATTTCCACTCATCTGTCTTCTAACTCATTGATCCGTTCTTCTGCCTTATTTAGTCTATTCTTGGTTCCTTCTGGTGTGTTATTCATTTCAGTGACTTTATTCTTCAACTCTGGGTATTCTTTATACTTTCCAACTCTCTGCTAAAAACTTCGCTCTGTGCATCTATACTCCTCTGAAGTTCTCTGAACATCTTCTCCATCATTACTTTGAACTGTTTCTCAGATAAATTGCCTATCTCCTCATCACTTATTCCTTCTTGTGGGATTTTATCTTGTGCCTTGGCCTGGGAGATATTCTTTTGCCGCCTCGTATCGTCTATCTTTCTATGTTTGTGGGCTCCTTCCACAGGCTTTGGGATTGTTGTTTTCTGATTTCTGGTATCTGCCCCCTGG